TAGTAGAGACGGGGTCTCGCTCTTGCTCAGGCTGGTCTCGAACTCCTGACCTTGAGCGATCCACCCGCCTCGGCCTCCCAGAGTACTAGGATTACAGGCGTGAGCCACCGTGCCCCGCCCCCCAAAGGGTTTTGAGTAAGGGATTGTGGAACTATACATTGTAGTTTTTATGGAATCCCACAGCTCCTTCACCAGAGGTTCTGGATTGGGGCCCAGAATCTGTTGTCCCAACCAGGGCCGCAGGTGATATTTTTAGCGTGGAAAGTTTGGAAAATAGAGTCTTAGCTGAATTCTTGACTATTTATTCTCTGGTCGACCATGATTGCTTCTTAGAAACTGGTTTTCGTACTTCTGTCGTCTCCCACTCCACTCTTCAATTCAGTCTTCTAAAGAAAAAGACCGTTTTTTGTCTTTTAAAAAGGCACCATCTTGAAAAGGTGGAATTTAGGAGACCTGAATTCTAATAGTTGCCACTCTGCCTGCCAGTAGCTGTGCAGCCCTGACCATCACTTAGCCTCTCTGTGCCTCAGTTTCCTCATCTGTAAATGAGAGTATCAACCTTGGTTTCAGATTACCCATATGCTTATGTTACTCCATTACTCAAAGAACAGCAAGTATTTCCAAGTGTCTCTTAGAAAATGTTCATATCTTCTTCTTTCCTTTGTGGATGACATTGATTACATTGATAGAGTACATCATGCTTCATTGGAATATCAGAAAAATAGTGTTCTGGCCATAAGCATGGACTTAAGAAAATGAACCTGAACAGTTTATTTTTGAATAGGTGATACTTCCATATAGTAAAAACTTTAAAAACATGAAGCGTATGTATTCTAAAGTATTTTCCTTGCACCCTGACTCCTGATTCTTCTTCCCAGAGGCAGCCGCTGTCTCGAGTTTCTTGTGTCCTTTCAGAGATTGACCATGCATTTATACGAATATCAAACTTGAAACCTTTTTTTTAAGTATGCAGGAAAAACAGGTCAATAGTAGGGGGAAAAAATAAAAACTGGTATAAGAGAACTAAATTCCTCATCATAAATCTTGAACATCATCTATTAACTACCTATTACGAAAGAAGAGAAACAATTTTTAGAAGCATTGAGAATACCTAAAAGAGATGAAAATGGTTGCTGTAGGTGGCCTGCCATGACTAGAATATTGCCGTTTTTTTATTATACATTCTTGTATATATATGTAATATTTTGATAGAACTAAAAATTGTTTTAAAAAGAAAAAAGGCAGAAAATATGGATAAACAAAATGAAATAAATAAAAATTGCCTAATATTATACCTCCAGATATAAGCACT